GTTCCCAGTAAACATACAGATGATTGCAGTGTTTATTTTTTGATTACTGAATTGCTTCATATGCTGCAAGAGAGTGATAGCATCAGGCCACTTCCAACACAATTTCTGCTGTGGAGTGGCTTTTTAACAATGGTTTAGTAAATGCCTGGATATGTGGCAACCTTATGCAAGGTTGCCAGGATTCTATTGAAATTATTATTTTTTAATTGACTCTGACTCTGGGGTATGGATGGGTTCAGTGGATTATTTAACTGAGTCCACTCTCGGCAGCTTACAATTTAAATCAGAAAAACAATAAAAAGGAACTACAGTGCCTAGACGACAATATTCCACTAACAAAAGTCCAATAGGACTCCACAACCACCTTATCCAAAGACCTGGGAGAACAACCATGTTTTTAAAGACCTCCAGAACATCATTAGGGTGTGAGCCATGATAATTTCTGGCGGGATATCATTCCACAGGGCAATCACTGTGACAGAGAAGGCATGCTTGCTAGGTCCTGATTGGTGCCATTGTTTGATTGAAGGGACCTGAAGCAAACGAACTCTGCCTGCTCTTACTTGGACAGGCAGAAAGTATAGGCAGTCCCTCAGATAACCTGGCTATTTGCCAAGAAGGGCTGGCTTTATAGGTAATAGTGAGCACCTTGAATCAGTTACCAGAAGCCCACCAGTAATCAGTGCCGCTCGTAGAGCAATGGAGTTATATGGGCATGCCTGCACCACTGAATTTTGGATCAGCTGTTGCTTCCAAATGGTCTTCAAGGGCATGTAGAGTATATTACAGGAATCCAATGTGAGGTGACTAGGGTATGATTGACTGTCTAAAGGGCCGCCCAATTGAAGAATGGGTGCAACTAGCATACCAGATGAAGGTGTGCAAAGGCCTTATTGGCCACAGCTGCCACATGCTCTTCAAGCAGGAGCTGCGAGTCCAAGATTACCCCCAGACAATCTTCATCACAGGCTTGAGGAACTGATTTGGAGTAAGACCTCTCACCATCTTTTTCTCTTTCTTCCCCAGCTTGAGCACAAATCGAACTCATTTTCTGCTTCATCTCCATCATCTAGTGCATAAACTTAGGAAAGTAATCATTATTTATTTCCAATGACAACATGTCTTATCATTTAGCCTTTCTGTGGGGTGTGTACAGCAGTACAGAGTGATGTCACAATTCAAAAAAGCCTTAGGTATGCCTAGCCCCATTAATCAGAAAGATGATCAACTGTAATCATAACCAATCCCACTTTCTTGAGAATATAAATAAAAGAATAAACCTTAAAACCTAGAGATCACAAGTTCACCTGCCTCTGCTTCACAGACTGTGTCCTCGCTCTTTTTCTCTGTGCCTCTTTCTGCACCTCTGTTCTTCAGCTCCACATCAGCTAAAATGTCTCACCGAGCCAACATCAAGATTCAAAGGAGAGGCTTCAGTAACTCATCTGCCATCCTACCAAATTTGTGTCATGCCAACTGGAGCTCACAAAGTACATGCAGAGGTGGAAGATGTGGCATTGGCGGTGCTGGCTGGGGACGGGCCGGTGGGGCTGGTTTTGGCAGCCAAAGCCTTTATGGTCTTGGTGGATTCAGGAGGATCTCAGTTGGAGGCAGTTATGGCAGTGGCATCGGTGGTGCCTATGGCTATGGTGGTGGAGCCTATAATGGCTACACTGTTGGCGGTGGTATTGGTGGAGGCTATGGGCTAGTTGGACCTAGTTTTGGTGGTGGGAGAGCTGGCCCTGGCTTCCCTGTTTGTCCACCTGGCGGAATCCAAAAAGTGACCATCAATCCCCACCTGCTGGAGCCTCTCAACCTGGAGATTGACCCCACCATCGAGAAAGTCCGTAAAGAAGAGGGAGAGCAGATCAAGACCCTCAACAACAAGTTTGCCTCCTTCATTGACAAGGTGAGAATAAAGTAAATGTTTTTCCTTGTTATTTTAGGGTGCAATGAACTGGGGAAGAGCTCAAGATCCTTCCTCCAGCTCCTCTTGCAATTTTTGCTCATGTCATCATGGTTGTTATTTATCACTGGCTGGCACCAGCTAGATGAAGATTACAGACCTGCCAACGTTTTCCTGGCCTTGCTTTTATTCTTGCAACAGCAACCT